TCTATCTATCTATCTATCTATCTATCTATCTATCTATCTATCTATCTATCTATCTATCATCTGCATTTCTCCAGTGGAGAAAACAAAAACAAAAAAACATTGTGACAATCGCTAACAATGAAAAGGAAAAAAGAGAGAGATTATAGCCAGGATTTTACTTGCATGGTTCATTATATTTTAGTCATTTTAACCTCCATGTATATAAGGTATTTTAACTTTAAAGTTATTTACCTCAAAAATAAGATTATATTTAATCATAAAATTTTAATACAAGCTAGATTCCCTTTTTATACAGTGTATAAGAAAATAAAAAAATTAACTGATAAGTGTGTATATTCCTACTTCATGGCAATGAAAGTAAAGACATGTAGATCATCTTTTGAAGAAATTGTTCCAACTCTTGTAACAATTATGTCACTTACCAAAGTCTACATGTGACTCTAGTTTGGAAGTGGTAGATGGGCTTTTTTTACTTAGATTAATGTTTCATTCTTTGTTATTTTTATTTATTTTTTCAATTAGTTTCTTGTTGCACATATTTATTATTACAGTCTCTCCGAAGGAAAAGAGGGGCAATAGTCTAATGATCTTTGAGATTTGGGCTTAGCATCTAATAGTAACTTCAAGCCAAATAAAGGCTGAGAATTTACAAACAGATGGCCTGAATTTAAAGACTCCAGTTGCTAAAGCCATAGTCACAGAAACTCATGCATCAGATTATGCTACCACAATGTACTTCATGTGGGGTTGTCTTTGAGCCCTACTTGGAAACTGCCATTGATGCAAAATGCAATTGGCCACTTCTTGGTGAGAGCTGCAATAGTAAGGTAATCCTTACCCTGCCGAAAACTGCATTGGTTTCCATTACATTTCTAGGCACAATTCATAGTGTTGATTTTGACCTTAAATGTCCTCAATGGCTTACCTCTCAGAAACAGTCGAGGTAGAACTAATCCATCCTACATGCTCATCCCAATTGAGGATATTGTTATTCCCCATATGAGATAGATGACAACTGTAAGACTTTTAGAGAATTATTTATGTAACGGCTTCCACTTTGAGAAATAGCTTTCTCCCAAAGTTCAGACTGGCACTGACTCTGAGGTCATTTCATAAGCTGCCTGAGATGAAATTTTCTTCAGGTCATTGAAGATTAATGTCATGTTGCACAAGCACGAAGCCGAAAACACCAGCCTGAAGATGGTGAGTGGGACCTCACCGAAACGTTGCCAAGACAATCTCAATCTTACACGGGAAAAGACCCGAATACAAGCAGGCAGGAAGGCAGGCAGGCAGGCAGGCAGGCAGGCAGGCAGGCAGGCAGGCAGGCAGACAGACAGACAGACAGACAGACACACACACACACACACACACACACACACACAGAGTTATTGGAAGAAATCATTAGAGCAGAGAACCAGTTGTTAAATTATTTTAATCCCACCACTGCTTTCATGTACAAAGGAAAGATTTAGGCAAAATTCAAAAATAAATGTTTTGGGTATGTTAATATTAAATGACATAACATAAAAGGTCACATTATTTTTTATTCTTTCTGTTGGTGGCTTTATAGTTATTAGCTATGGCTAAATGCCACAGAGTATGACAATCTTATCATGAATTGTAACCCAGATTAAGCACATTAGTTTTATATATTGAATAATTTCACTTATGGGGAAAAGTAACTAAAATGATTTGAGTCAATTAACTAAAATAATAGCTACATTTGGAATAGAACTAGCTAGATAAAATACACATTAAAAATAACAGTAACATATGATTAGTTGTTTTATGTATCTGGCTAGAGTGACAAAATAATTACAAGCCAATAAAATGAGACCCTTTGTAAATGTAGTCTGATTGCATTCACAGGAATAGCCTGTGACATATTAAATATATGCTGAATAGGACTGGATACAAATGGAAGTGCAATGCACATCTCATGTTAGGCTAAGAAATTATTCATAATTAAAAAGTCTGATTGTTTTTATTTCACTTTTGTTTAAGTCCACATCAGAAAGCAAAAGCAGTGAAATGAGGCTGACAGAAAGCAATTTCTAGTTAATGCATAATGCATGAAAACACTAAGGGGTGTTACAAATATTTGAGAGGATTGACATATGATTCAGTTCATGTAAAAATAATGTAAAATGGATTAAGATGATTAGATGCATCCCTATCAGAATCTCATTAAATTAGGTCATATGCTCCAACATATAATCACAGATTGCAGTAAACCTGACCTATTAGTAGATTGTTGTAAGGATATTAGTAGAACAGGAGCTAGGAGCATAATTTTAGCCTTTCTTATCAATGGGGTACATGTGCATGTCTTTGGTTTATATTAAATGGAATTGCCTTCAACCGGGCTTCTGCCTCTGTCCCTGGCTATGAAATTAGTCATCTACCCCCACCGCCTCCACTATAGCAGATGAGACTAAATACATAAACATTCTTATGTTAACATTCTACATAATAATAGAACAGACTCTCCCTAGGACATCAGGAAATTTGACCTGAATACTAATTACACAGATACTGAATGTATACAAAACATAGATGTATTTTAGGAAGTATTAGTCTCCAATATATGAAAAAAGTATAAACAATTCACATTTACAGTGACATTTTTCATTACTGATTTACTTAACTTTCCTAGTCCCATTCGGAATATAAGCAGTAGAACAGGAAGATATTCTCTGTGAATATATTAAATTCCACCAAGAACTCAATGAATTTTTAAACATGTTCCCCTTAGGCATTGTATACCAAGAAACAAGTATTGAGGCTGTGAAATAATGCCAACATCTGAGGGCACATTGTTCATTTTGCTGCTGATTAGTAGTCTGCAGTTGGCCAGAAATCACAGTGAAGATACAGTGAATCCCACATCTTCAAGAAGCAGGGTAAGCAGCACTCCTGTGAGTCCAACTATATTCAATGTGACCTTTGATAGAACTTCTACAGAATCTAGAAATATCAGTGCTAGTCCAAATGATAGTACTGTAACAGAAAGCAATACTCCAAGCAACAAGACCACCTCAACCCTGACTCCAACATCATCTCTTCACACTTTGCTATTACCAACAACACATCCACCGACTTTTACTACAAAAGATGCAAAGCATAGAATATCCTCTTCGGGAATGCCTGCAAATACTTCTAGAAAATATGAAGCTACCACTTACTTCAAGTCATTTGAAACTGAATCAAACAGTGTCACCACAAGCACTCCTAACATCAGTTTCACGACCAGGGTTTCCCATAACACAACTCAAGTAGATGGTTTAACATTTCATCCCACTAAAAATCTATCAAATACAACACCTATGTTGTTAACTACTAGGAGTAGTACTGTTACAACTGAATTATCAACAACAGCAAAGCTGCCTCCCAAAGCAACGGATAGCTTTACAGGACCAAGAGAAGCCCCAAAAGGTAAGAAAATTAATTGTCCTTAATTAATGTCACCACCCAATGCTATTAACTATGCAATTGTACTCCTTCTACAGTAGACAGCTTACTGTTATCATTTTACTTTAAAAGCAGTTGACAAATAATTCTTAGAAACAGAATATTATAGAAAGTGAATATTATAAAGGAATCTAAGTGATAAACATGTTATCTTAAGTAATCCTGTTCTTAGTTGAATCAAAATTATGAATGAATCAGTGGTGGGGTTCAATTTTTTTTACTACCGGTTCTGTGGGTGCGGCTTGGTGGGCATGGCATGGCTCGGTGGGCATGACAGGGGAAGGATACTGTAAAATCTCCATTCTCACCCCACTCCAGAGGAAGGTTACTGCAAAATTCCCATTCTCTCCCGATCAGCTGGGATTCGGGAGGCAGAAAATAGATGGGGTCGGANCAATATGCTGACTCTGTAAACCACTTAGAGGGGCTGTAAAGCACTATATAAGTCTAAATGCTATTGCTATCATTACATTTTGCACCTTTAAATGTGTCCTCATTCCAAAGAAGATTTCATATAATATCAATAAAAAGTTCAACATTTCAACTGTACCATAGTTACAATTGTCCCCTTTCCCTCCAAAATATACAAAGGAATCTTTCTGGAGGTTTTTTTAAATTTTGTTTTTAGCCATCGATGCACTTTTCATGTGATTTATATACTCATCATCCACCAGTGTCAGCAATCAGACAGAACCATCAGGGACTGACTTCAACTTTTGATAACAGAATTTTTCTCATACAGAATAAATTTTTCTAAATGCAAATTACCTGGTGCTTTAAAAAAAAGAATTACTGTTACTTGAATCAAATTTCAGTAGCATCTTTTGTTTTACGCATGCATTTTTGCAGATATTTTAATAAAAGGAAAGTTATATGCTAGGAAAAGGTGCTATTCTTTGTGCTGCTGCAAAATTCATTAAAACTGAATATCCAAATTTGCTTTAAGGAATACATATGGCAGAATTTCCTTTACATTTTACACTCATTCATCCCTTATAGTAGAAAATAGATCCAGACACGTCAAGCAAATATATCCCATAAAGACATCTGTTCCAAATGCCTGCCAATAGATTTAAAATATAATTTTCCATATTACATTTTACTTCAACTATTAACTCCACTGATTAGATGTTGGACACTGATTACATTATTAATATTAAACTTTACATATTAAACATTAAATGTTAATATAAACTTACCCCATATAGCCATAAAAATGGCAAAGAAGACAGTTCCTCCATTATCAAATAAGTATGTAACCTTAGGAGAAAAAAAAATAAAGAAAATTATGCAAATTATTAATGAAACTACTTAAAATGTTAAGAAAGCCAAAAAGGTGAAAGTTATAACAAATTATTGAGCTCCAGCCTCAGATATACAAACATAGTTCAATTTCTTTGAATTAAAAAAAAACATTTTTACTTCTCTGCTTTCTTGTGCAAATTATCATAAATGCAGAGTAGCTTTCAGGATATACAGTATACAGAATCTATTATGCAGAACATCAAACCACGTAATTTGTTCTGTGACACTTATTAAATCAAAATTATGGAACTTTGTGGGAAAAATAGGGCCATGAATTTCAAATATCAAGAAACTAATAATTGAAAATAATTTTAAAGAAGCAGTTCTCATTTCAGATCATATTTGTTTGCTCCTTGATATGTATGGTTTTCTCTCCTTCCCATAGACCAACTCAATCTAACAGTAAATGGAAACAATTACAACAGCTTAAACACATTTCAATTATTATAAATTAGTTCCATCAGAAAAATCAGGCAGCAAAGGAAGGTCTTGATTCCTTTCCAGAAAACAGAGAGAATGGGACAAAGCACAGCTCTCAAGGGAGTAAATTGTAGCTTCTAAGCAATAAATAAAAACAACTGAATGCATAAAAGGCCTTCTTCATATGCCAATTAATCAACTTTGAGAAATAAAGGCATATTTTACAGAACCTCTCCATCTGTGTGTGGTTACTGTTATTACAGAGACGCAGGGAGATATTGTGGTTGTGTAAGTATTGCACTAGAAATGGAGAGTCCCAATTTGTGCTCCACTGAATGAACTTGACCCAGTCACTCTCTTGGACCAGCCTCGGATAGGGTTGAGGTACTCCCTACTTAGCAGATATACAAGTGACCCTTGCTTAACAGTGGCTATTGGGACTGGCAACTCTGGTTGCTAAATGTTGCTCTTGCAAAGTATGACGCATATGACTGTGCCACATGGCTTTGCCTGTGACACATGACTGTGACATACTAGCCTTTTTTAAATGAATCCCACATAGTCATTAAGCAGTATATCACATGATCACCATTTACAACCTTCTATTGGTTTTCCTGGTGTCTATGGAGATTCTCAGCCATCCAGGTAATGGTTGTTTCAAAAGTGTTTCTCCATGAGGCAACTGGATTTTTTTCGTTTTTCTTTGAAAACATTTTGCTTTTCATCCAAGAAGCTTCTTTGGCTCTGACTGGATGGTGGGGAATGGAGCAGGAAACATTCCCACCATCCAGTCAGACTGAATAATCTTCTTGGATGAGAAGCAAAATGTCTTCAAAGAAAAACAAGACAGTTCAGTTGTCTCCTGAAAAAAAAAACACCTTTGGCACTATTGGTTTTCTCATTGACTGCTTGTCAGAAGCTGGCAGAGAAGATCATGCATGGCAATCATGCCTGATCTTCTGCAGGATCACTGCAGGATGCTGCAACCATTATTATTGTGAGCTGGTTGCCAAGCATACAAACCGCAATGTGACAGCAGGAATGCAGCAAAGGATGCATTTATGAGAACTGGTTGTAAATCTCCTTATTCAACATCATCACTTTGAATGGTCACTGAATGAGTGGATGCGAAGGAAGGATTATCCATAAGTTCATGATAAATGGAAAATGCTATTACTGTAGGCTGCTCTGAGCAAAATAGAACATTAGCACTGTAAAAATAAAGCACATTACACTTCAAAAAACTATCTGCACTATCACATTATTCATCTTAGTCCAATTGCAAAAAATGTCAGAATCTAAAAGAAACCATTC